GAGGAATTCCTCGCAGCCGATCTAATTCCTCATATTCAACTCTCGCGTCCCTGTTCAGTCCTGGTATGTCCAGGATTCCCCTGGTATGAAAAAATTGATTGGAATGACTCTATTAATCAATAAGTACGAGGGATGAAAAAACGAACGATAGGGTTGAATAAAAACAATCCATGATCCAATGACCCTTTGAGGTACCGCAAAATACGTTTGACAGCCTCTAGTCAAAGAGGAAATCTTGTGGTCAAATCTAGTAATAGAGTGAGGGCCAGCAACCTCAATCTTAGAAAAAGAATATACTGCCAACAAAGACAATACCCATGGAAATGAAGAAAATCACTGGACTGAAACCAAATAAGACCGACATGATCATCTATAAAGAAAGTCGGCACACAAGACCGAGGAGTTGACCCCTTTAGAAATAGAAAATAAAAGGGTGCATCCTTTTATCTCTTTTTCTGTTTTAGAGTCAAAAGTAACAGCAGAACTTTTCCATTCCCATTCCACTCAAGGAAACGTCCAATTCAATTCTTAACGGACAGATACTAAGCTAATTAGAAAAAACATACTTCCAACCTCGGGAAGCGGGGTAGTTATATATATATATATATATAATTAGAGATGATAACGGTCGGATTAAAGTTGTATTTTTTAATAAACTCGACTTAACTCGAAAATATTATTTTTCAACTGACCTTGATTTAATCGAAAAATTTATATATTTCATCCTATTCCGATTAAAAAAAAGTCCATCCGACTCTTAAAAAATTGAGTCATCCCTATGTATACCTGCAAAAAGTCACCAATATTGACGGTTAGATATCCACGGCGATAAGGCACATCAACCCACTGGTTCTGATGAAAAACTTGTAGTCCGGCATCAGATTCCAAAAGTATGGTTAGAAACGATGCATCGGTGTGGCTGGATGCGCCGATGGTCAGCTCAGGTTGAGGACACGATGGATAATAGTGGAATGCAATAAGAGCTCCTCTCATGCCGCCGGTGCTCGCCAGGTAGTCTCTCCTTAACCCTAAACTCTCCGATAACAATTTCGATAACGTCTCCTTCAGTTGCTGCATGTATTTCATGTACTCGCTGGTTACCTTCCTGCAAAAATGAAAAAACCCATCAAAGGATATACATCGATCGAGCGAATTTATGGTAATTTGAAGCAATTGTGAATCGTCCTCAACCTGCAGACTCTGGGTATGGCTAGTTCGTTTAATTCGCCGTCTGGGAATTCAATTGATACAGTATCTCTCCATGCCGCCACCTTTGTATTGTAATCGAAGATCCTTTGGTTGATTTCGTTACTCGTACACCACGCTTTCTTCAACTCTTGAGGCTGTTCATGGAATCCACGAACGGCGTCCAGCATGTTCTCCATTAGATGAATCGGTACTCCGTGATTAACGATCCGGAAGAAACCCCATGTTTGAGCCGCGTCGCGTATGGCGTCCACGATTTGGGTTCTGCGTCGTTGATCGGTGTCGTCGACGCCTTCGAGGTCTATCACCGGGATCTGAAGCTGTGCGGTTAAAGTGGCGTTTGGTGAAGAAACTCCGGTGGGGGATGGATGAAGAAACTGGGAATGTCGGTGACCCCCGAATCGACCAGCCCTTTAACTCCCGCCCAGGATTGGAAGAAAGCCTTCCTCTCTTTGGCGCTGCTATCATCATCTTCAGCTCTCAGGTCGGCTTCCATATTCTGGTTTGAGGCGTGCAATGATTGTACAAACATACTTTAAACAATGAAGCTGCGATGCGATGATAAGTGGTAAACAGCTTGGACAAGGCGTTGGAAAAAATAATTGGTTGGTACAACGAACGGGATGCCAGTAAGATTTTATGTTAGAAATGATAAATTTAACGAATATATATTTAAATTTATAAAATTTGATAAATTTAACGAATATATTTAAATTTATAAAGTTTTAAGAGACGAAAATAAATTTTTAATAAAAAATATATAGATAAAATTTAAAATATAAAATAATTTTAAATTTTTAGTGGTGCGATCACTTTCACCCGTCTCTCACAAGTCTATCCCTACATATAGAGTGTCGTCAAAATTATTTCTTTAAGATAATATAGTCGTTATAGTGTCAAATAAAAAAACCGACTCCCTTCGTCTACTCTAAGTTTGCCATCGCTGTCCTTCTCGCCAGTATTACCAAATAAAAAAACGCGGTTTTTGCTTTGTAGTATTTGCCTTAAGCTCTTTCACAAATCACAATCATTCATTTCGATCTCTGCTTCCCCAAGATCTCACTGTTTCCTCTTTTTCTGGAGCTCAGTTCGGTGGAATTTTTCAAGGTCAGATTCCACAGATCTGGAAGTGAAAACCGACTCCCTTCGTCTACTCTAAGTTTGCTCCTTTTCCATCCCTCTTCTTCTTATATTTGTTGGCTTTTTCGTTTGGGTGTGTGTTCTATTGATTTCAAATTGAATCTATGTTTTTACTGGATTTTCCCCCTTTGTTTAAAGCCTTTTTTAATTGATTTTCTTCCGCATTCTCCCCTTTATTTTCTGAAAATTTCTTGGCTTGTTTTAGTTTTAAGAAAATCCGATCCTTTATTATGTTTTGAAGTGGTTCGGCTTTTCAAATTCAATGTTTTCACTTTAAAAATAATTTTCCTGTGTTTATAACATAAACCCTAACCTCTCAAATTTAGTTTCATGGTTTTCGTTAAACGGGTACTGTGATTTTAAGGATTAAAGTTTGTGGATTTCACGTAGTCTCTTCTTTCATCTATTACTAAAATATTCCCCCAGCTGGTATTTCTTTTCATTCTTTGCGACACACAGCTAGGCCGCCCTGCATATCGGGTTTGTTTATTGGTGAAACGCAGTATTAAAGGAGGAATCAAGCGTATTTCCTTGGGTGGTTCGTCTCTCCACTGAATCTCTGAGTAAATCTCGGCGCAGGCTAGATTTTTTTTACCATCATCTTCTTCATCTTTCCTTTTCTGTTTTAGATCTTTATCCTCTTGTTATTCTCGGATTTAATCTGTGTTTTCTTTTCCATTACCCTTACATTGAGTTTGTTTATTTCTAATCTAGTTTTGTTTTGTTTCTAAATTCTTACCAGACTAGATAACCTCTTTAAGACATATATTTGTATGTGTTTTTATCAGCTTAATCTGTTTTTTTTTTCAGAACTAGAAACTATTGCAGGTTTCGTTTCAAATATGTTTCTAGACGGTTAATTCGTTGAATTTTCATTTCATTTTTGGCTTTTATGCTCTGCTCTTTATATGATTTGTTTCTGTCTTTTAAGTAATTCTCTCTTCATTATTATTCTTTCCTGTTGGAGGTAAGGAAGTGGAACCTAAAAAAAAAAAAAAATTAAACTTCTATAGAATTTGTTATTTACTTGAAAAGCAGTTTTGCTTTGAGTAAGATCTACTAGATCTATATTTTGTACTTTCCTTTGAGTAGGATTTATTGGATCTGTATTTTTTCATTGTCCTAGACTCTTAGTATCTTATATTTCTAGCGTTTTATTTGGTGCATCTTTGTCTTCTTTGGATTCTTTTTTCATAGTTCCTCATAGCTTCGGTTATAGATGATTACTTGAGGTCATGTCATTCTTTTAGATCCCATAGGGCGTATAGGGGGAGAACCCGACAGAGTGATGTCAAGGACACTAGACTTAGAGTTTGTTCGTTGAATGTAGGCACATTAAATGCTAGGCTGCTGGAGCTGACCGACGTACTTAGTAATAGGAAAATAGATTTTGCATGTATTCAGGAGACTAGGTGGAAAGGGGCTCGCGCCAGAGAGTGTAATGGGTACAAGTTGTGGTATTCAGGTGTAGATAACGCTAGAAATGGGGTGGGTATCTTGGTATCCTCTAAGCTCAAGGAAAATGTAGTTGAAGTTTGTAGATACAGAGATAGAATCATGATGATTAAGGTTGTTATAGAAGCGGAAGTGGTAAATGTCATTTCAGTGTATGCCCCACACGTTGGCCTAGGGGAGGGGAAAAACGTTGCTTCTGGGATCAGTTAGATGATGTACTTAGGAGCATTCCGGAGGACCAAAGAGTTTTCATAGGGGGAGACTTCAATGGTCATATAGGTAGTGCAATCGACGGGTATGACGGTGTTCATGGGGGTTTCGGTTATGGTAGCAGGAATGATGAGGGCGTACGTTGCTTGATTTTGCTACTGCTCACGATTTGGTGATCACTAACTCCTTATTTAATAAGAGAGATGCGAACTTGATTACGTTTCATAGCGGGGGACATTGTACCCAAATCGACTACATCTTGGTTAGAAATCGGGAACGATGGGCTTGCATTGACTGTAAGGTGTTCCCTGAAGAGGCATGTGCATCACAACACAAATTGTTGGTTTTGGTGTTCCGCGTACCCAACGGGCGGAGCACTCATAGGAGGGCTAAACTGGGTAAACCTAGGATCCTCTGGAAGAACTTACATGGAGCGACAACTGATGACTTTAGGAGTAAGCTTTTGTCTAATACAGGTTTTGAAACTACAAACTCAATTAACGCAGATATGTTATGGAAAAATATGGCAAATTCCATTAGAGAGGTGGGCAAAAACACCCTTGGGTTGTCGACGGGGAAGGCCAAGGAACATAAAGAATCGTGGTGGTGGAACGACGAAGTCCAAACTAAGGTGAAGACAAAACAACTTGCTTCAAGGAGTTTCTTCAATGCAATGATGACGAAGAAAGGTCGAGAGCTAAACAAAGATACCAGGAGGCAAAGCGGGAAGCCAAGAAAACGGTAGCTAAAGCAAAGGATAAGGCATATGAGGAAATGTACAGAGATTAGACACCAAGGAAGGACAAAATGGCATCTTCAGACTTGCAAAATCTAGGGAGATTAGGAAAAATGATCTAGGTAACATTAGGTTTATTAAGGACAACAATGGTGTTCTTTTAACGAAAGATCATGATATTAAGAGGGTTTGGGGTAGTTACTTCTTTGGCTTATTTAATGACGGTGCCTCTCCATGTAGAGATAGTATCGTTGATGGGTCAGCCAACCATCATACTACGACCAATGACTGCCCTACAAGTAGGATTGGGTTTGAGGAAGTCAAAATGGCTCTTAGAAAGATGGGAAGGGAGAAGCTGTCGGTCCTGATCAAATTCCTATCACTGTGTGGTTAGCCCTAGGAGAAGAGGGAGTTAAATGGTTGACCAACATCTTTAATATTATTTTAGAGACTGCCAAGATGCCAGAGGAGTGGAGAGAGTCTACGGTGATACCAATCTATAAAAATAAAGGAGATCCCCACGTTGTGGTAACTACAGAGGTATTAAACTACTCAGCCATACCATGAAGCTATGGGAAAGGGTGATAGAGGCTAGGTTGAGACAAGTTACTAGGGTTTCGGAAAACCAATTTGGCTTTATGCCAAGCAGGTCTACCACGGAGGCGATTCATCTACTTCGACGGCTTATGGAGAAATATAGGGAAAAGTCTAGAGATCTTCACATGGCGTTCATTGACCTTGAGAAGGCTTATGATAGCGTTCCTCGCGATACGATCTGGAAGACTTTGGAAACGAGACGGATACCAACTGCTTATATCCGGGCGATTCGTGACATGTACTGTAGATCTACTACATACCTCAGGACTACAATTGGCGACACCGAGGCATTCCCGTGGAAATCGGACTCCACCAGGGGTCGACTCTTAGCCCTTACATCTTCGCCTTGATTATGAACAACATCTATTGTGCGACACCAGACGGTGTACCTTGGTGTATGCTTTTCGCTGACGACATTGTTCTAGTTGCTGAAACAAAATCTGAGTTGAATAGTAGACTGGCTACCTGGAAGACTGCTTTGGAAGAAAAAGGTTTAAGGATCAATATTGAAAAGACAGAGTATTTATGTTCAAACTTCAATGGGAACCAAAACGATGAAGATGTAGAAGTATGCATAGAAGGACACGTTCTTCCCTCAAAGGATTGTTTCAAGTACTTAGGGTCTATGATACATAAAGATGGGGGTGTAGATGATGACGTTACACACCGTATAAAGGCGGGATGGCTAAAGTGGAGGGCCGCTACTGGAGTTTTGTGTGACAAGAAGGTGCCTCTAAAACTTAAGGGAAAATTTTATAGAATGGCAATAAGACCAGCGCTGTTGTATGGATCAGAATGTTGGGCAACCAAGAAGGATCACGTAAGGAGGATAGAGGCCGCAGAAATGAGAATGCTTCGATGGACATGTGGTAGGACTCTGTGGGATATGACGACAAACTCTGCTATTAGGATGTCCTTAGGGTGGTGTCTGTTTCCGAAAAATTGAGGGAGGGAAGACTACGGTGGTTTGGGCATGTCCTTAGGCGACTACCGTCGGATGCGGTCAGGAGGGTAGAGTCGATTACAGTCGACGGTGCCAGAAGGAAAGGACGACCAAGGCGGAAGTGGGAAGACTGCTTGAGATCTGATTTGATGGATTTAGGCCTTACGGAAGACATGACCTATGATAGGAAATTATGGAGGCTTAAGACTAGGGTAGTCGAGTAGTGTGGGTCACATCTATAGGGTGTATCATCTTTGTCTTCTTTTAAATGCATTTGTAGTAATTTCCATGACTTTTACTTTTTATACTTTTCTGTTATTGGTATTTATGAAAGATTAGAACTGGGCTTGCTATAATTGTCTTCTGTGTATCATTCTCGTCATGTTTCCTCTGTTAAATTTAGCCGGTCTTATGTTTCTGTCTATATGCAGAGATTCTTTCGCAGGGATTATTTTGCAGGGATTACTCCCCATTACAGAAGCACATATGATATTAATGACTGCATATGAATATTGTTTAGCTATGTATTTATGTAATTATTTATACATGCATTGCATTTTATCTATATTTTTAATTTTCTGAGTGCCGGAGGTCTTTCACGGAAGCTATTCTCAACCTGGCGTTGGGGGCAGCCTACTACCCTACCTCCCCCTTACCCCATACATATGGGAATTGGGTTTTGTTGTTGTTGTTGTTGTTGATAGTGTCAAGAAAGATGTCGAGAATACAATGAATTTTCTATTTTCCCTCATTTTTCACGCAGTTAAAATATCGAGATTATCATAAGAACAAAACATAAAATGTATTATGATCTCTTAATCTTTCTGTAAACGTGTTATGTTTCTGACGTCTATCGACGAATATTGTAATATTTTTATTAGATAAAAAAATAAATCTGATAAAACTTTATACGAGTCAATAATTTTTTCGCTACCTATGAGCAAATTTGTCATTTGGTAGGATTTTTATTCACGTGCATGGAATGATATACAATTCAATAAGCTCTTGTGTGTGAATGAAATATATATATATATATATATAGTTTCCTGTTCTCTTTAATTTCTTCTTTGTCTTTTTCATTTGATATCAAAATTAACACATACGGGAATTTAAATAAAATCTATTATTAAAATAATATTGTTATATGATCGTAATATTTATAATAATAATAATAATAATAATATAATATGTTAAGAAAAACGAATTTAAATTTATAAAATTTTAAGAGATGAAAATAAATTTTCAATATAAAATATAAAAAATATATAATATATTTAAATTTCAAGATAGACTACTGTTTTTATCCGTCTCCCTCGATCCATCCTTGATTTCGAGGGTTGTTGTTGTTGATTTCCAAGGTTGGACACTTTGAACATTGCTGCCGTTGTTGGACTGCTACATCAATAGGATGTGGATCTCCTCGGCTCAATTCTTAGAGTAAAATATACCATTGGCACTCAATTATGTATCGATAATAAATGGAATATATTTTCTTAAAAATACAATTTAATTATTTAATCAAAATATTATTATAAACATACTATTTGTCTTCAAAATTGAAACAAACATTTAATGCGACTTGATATAAAAATGACTTTAATCTCCAAAATCTATATATTATCATCGACTAATTCATATTTAAAAATTATATCAATTTAATTTTTTTACGATACTGTCAAATTAAATGAGTCTATCATCGATAACTTATTTGTAATAATATTTAATTTAATGATTAAATTAAATGTTTTAAAAAAACAATATATTTATTACCAAGCACATAATTAAATAACTTCTTAAGAAGTAATTAGTTTTGATTAGCTTTAATCAAATTTATTTCTCCATTTCACTAAAAAATATCAAATTCAATTGTTTTATCAGAGAACAGTGAAACGGGGGTGATGGGTGGGTGGGGGACACTTTTGGGGCTAGTGGTGATGGACGACTCTCACTTTTCAAGCCTATTTTCAGATAATTCATGGAAAATTTAATTGCATACATATATATTTAATATAAGTAAATTTAACACGTGACTTTCATGATAAAAGAATTAATGTTATTCTTTAAAATTTTGGGTTTGAGTATTATAAATGTCATGATTGTGACGTTCAATGTCAAAAAATTGAGAGTTATCTTTAAATAGATATTGTCTTGTACATACTACAGATTAATAAAAAAAATAAGTAAATTAATAAAAGTATTTTTATGTTAGATAATTATTTTAATTTTCATTTTTAATAAATTTTAGGTAAAATGTACGTGAAATCTTTGAACTTTAAAAAAAAAAAACTAATGCGACTATCGTACTATTTTTTCTATCAACATGACTATCCAACTCAAAAAAAGATTCTAATGTGGTCATTTGACCAACGTTTTCCGTCATTGACCAACGGTTACGTTAATTCCTACTGACGTGGATGCTTTCTCAAATCTGTTACGAAAGGAATATTGCTTGTTATTGTTGGTAGAGATGAAAATAATCAATTTATGGTTGCATGTGTAGTTGTTGAAAGGGGAGGAAAAAAATCACAAAAATGGTTTTTTGCATAAACTTATGGTTGACTTAGAGCACCCTAAAGACGAAGGAATTACACTAATATCGGTTAATGACGGAAAACGTTGATCAAAGAGTCACATTAAATTCTTCTTTTGAGTTGGAGGGTCACGTAAAAAAATTAATATACCTTTGTCTGTTGTTAGGGGAATTCAACTGTCCCAAGGCTTATCGTTTGCTATGAGTGCTGTGAAGTACATTAGAAAGGTTCAGGGTTTTTCAAAGTCGAAATCTATGGGGAATAGGCAGTGGTTGGGGTTGGATGGATTGGTTTTGGCCATTTTTTGTGCTTGTTTCATAATTGTTGTCAATGGTGCAGGTCAAAAAAGAAATCAAAGCGAGACTAATGGATTGTTTCACTTGTAGGGTCAAGTGCAGCACTTGGTTTTGTTTGTGGAATACTAGTGCTCGTGCCTCTCAAGCTAAGGACACTATGTGTGCCTTGAAATGAATAACTGTATGGTATTCCATTGAATTTCCTTACTATTAGTGTTTTTTAAGATTCTTTCTTCTTCTTTTTGTCTGGGATTTGCGATTATTATGTTTCTGATCGTTTGCTTCTCGAGACCATAGAAGCCACAGATGCGGAATTTCCTTGCTGGATTGCAGGAATTGTAATGTTTATGTATACAGAATGGTGATTACATTTCAGCAGATAAAAAAATGCACAACTCACCTAAAGAGAAGGACAAAGGAGGATAATCAAAACATGCAGGAAAGAAGAAGAGAAGTAATGACAATGAGAAATTTTGCTGAGAGGACTCTACTAATGTATCTTTGTCCCGAATGGTCGATTTCAAGCTTTGTTTGGATTATCTTTGATTCTGCTTTGGAATTTTGGAGCATCAGCTTATTCCTTTATCCGAATGGATTTCTTGTTTGAAACGAGTTCGGAGGTGCCGAAAGTACACTTGTAGGTCTCTGATCTATACTTGAGGTGCTCGAAATAAAGTTACTACCATCAAAGCCACTGTTTCCTTGTAGTCTGCAATGATATCATGCAAAAACTTACCCAGAAAAGTTCATAATATACAAAACATTTCTTTTACGCTCGACTAAATGCAAAAATTCTGTCTTCATACTATGTGATGCATGCAGAGAATATAAAATAGAAAAATTAGAATGCCACCTTGAATGTTGCAAAAGAATGCGTGATTGATCTCCCATGTATGTAGCTAACATCATAAAAATCATAATAAGCATCAGAATAGCCATATTAATATTAAATTTTAGCATAATTAGAAGAGAAGTGAATTTACAAGAAGGCATAGCTGATATGAAAGGTGACCCTAGAGTCATTGGAGATGATCCGGTATATGATGAATGATATGCCATTCCTGAAGAATAGGTGTTGAAACCGGATGTATGAGACAAGGCAATCGGATCTTGGACGCTAGGGAGGGCTCCTAGATAAGATGCCATTGAAGGAAACTACAGAACAAATCACGGTTAGCAAATGAAGGTTAGACCAAGTACACAAATACAAAAGTTATTAGTACTATTTGAAAAATGGAAGCCATGTCTGTGGATCCTGAAACTGTCAATAAGTTTTTGTTATATAAAACTATTGTTATATTCATAAGAAGTTAATCATCAACTAACTAGATAATAGTTAGTTAAGGCAACTATAAGAAGGAAAGTGGAGCAGAGGCAACTTTTAGTTTTTAAAAGATAAAGACAAAAGAAAACAATGTAACTGTGAGCAATAAGTTGTTTGTGATGCGTACTGCTGGGACTTGTGCTGGAGTCGTATCGGTATCAAATGGATTTGTCTTTGCAGTATTTGGGAATGCTGCCACATGCTGGGAACAGATAGATATAGTTTAAAGTCTCCAATATACAAGCAAGAATTAACATGTTAATTAGCAATTACAGAATTTGAAGTTCCAAGAACACAAGATACCATTGCATTAGGATAATATTGCAAGCCATATCCCATTCCATATGGTAGGGCATTTTGCCAACTCGGAAATGCTGCAGGGGCTAATCCGTAGCTTGCTGTAAAGAGATCCTACAAAGAAAGTGGAATATATTGTCAAGAGGGTTCATGAATATCCAAGACAACCGAAGGCAAAAGCGTCACCTGTGGAAGTTCCTTTCTTTTGTTAGGTTTTGTTTCTGCTGGAGGCTGCACTCCAACTCCATATGTTGTTACTATAGCAGATGTTGAGGGGGCTTGAGATGACTGTGAAGTAGATACATTGGTCAATTGTTGAGAATTATACATTACGAATGAAGTACCATGCTGCAAATATTAACACAAAGCAATAGGTTTAGCAAGGGAAATGGGGTTCAGTCAGCCCACATTTTACTAAAATACAGGGTATATTTAGTTTCCAACAATTTCCGATCAACTCTAATGATAACCTGGCTATTTAATTCTTCAACTGCTTGAGTATATGGATGTGCAGAAAACTTATTATCAGAAGCAGAGGACAGAGAACGCTGATGTTGTTGCATGCCGGAAAAGCTATGCCCCTCAGAAGCTTTGACCTTGTGCTCACCATTAACATCAGTTGTTGCTTGAAAACCTAGATTGAAGGGGTATTTTTGGATATTTACAACCTGTGGAACTGTTGAAGAATCATCCGTACTCGTTAATGCCAAAAATTGTGGTGCAGATGTTGCTGTAGAAAAACCATCTAATGAAATGTTCTGTCCAGATGCAGTTGACGGAGCACTTGTGGTGTCTAATGCTGCAGAGACATTATCAACAGGCACCACAGATAAATCTGACAGATCAAAGAGTAAAGCCTCCAAATAATTTGGATTAGAGGCTGGAGGTGCTTTTCCCTTTGAAGAGAAGTCATCTGAGGACTGGCTACCACCATCATTTGATGGAGGCACTTGCTGCACATTCGGTGCTGCCACCTCATTGGACAGCTCAGAATTCATACTGAAATCGATCAAACTTTCCACAACACCAGGTGATGCATTCTTCTGTGAAGTGAAAAAAAACAAGAGAGTGAGCGCATAAGAATGTTCACAACAGCTACATCTAAATACAGCACGGTAAACTGCTGAACTAATAATAGGCGTAACAAAATCCACAGCTTCTCATGAGTACCAACTTTTTACGGCCTATCTCACAAGTAAAATTAAAAAACTTAATCTATGAAACCAGTTCATTAAAAATCTATTGAAATGTATTAAGCAAAACTCAGTAAATGGTTCAAATATGTACATGAAATCCTACGCAGGTTTCATATCTGAATTAAAAAATAAATAAAATCTCTCTTTTGAGAGGAAATGAAGAAACTCTAGTTCGAGAAATACTAAGGGCCTGGCATAGTTTCTAAGCACTCGCTACTTGCTACATATGCTGTTGATTCATATGGTGTATTTGTGTTTAAGAAACCAGTTGTGTTTCTTAGAAACCAACTAAAAGAATGATAAAACCAGAAGCCTCTAAAATGAAACACCATTCGAGCCATAGTTAAATCATAAATGGAAAAGTAGCAGCAACAGTTTCACCTGGTTTTCAGCAGAACCATCAGGATCCCTTCCAGCATTTTCATTTGAATGTTCACCCACCTCAATGGCAGGAGCAGTCTCCCCCAAGTTATCTCTAACTGGCTGCTCCACTGGAGAACCAGACCTCTCTAATTCGAGGCTAGATGGCTGGGTTTGTCTCACAGGTTCTCTATGTGAAAAGTCCGGGTTATCTTGTTGCCTGGCACTTCTAGTACCCTCAGGTCTGAGCCTGTTGTCAACAATCTCGATGCGCATAGAATTTCTACGGCCACTTCCAAATCTCGATTTTTCTTCAGGATATCGAGGACTTTTTCCCTCCTTATAGAAAACTCTAACAGCAGCTCTTCCAGGAGGACTAAATCCTTCATTTGAACTCCATTCCCGTCTATCTTCATAAAGTGGACCTCTGGATCTACCACTAGACACACTCCCTTTCCTGCTTTCAGAAGAATTCGTCCTGCATAACTGTATAAAAAGAGAGAGAGTGACAGAATTAAAAGATAACTAGCATGAAAGACATTCAGTCTCGTTAAATATGACATTAAAGGGATACTAATCTTACACTCGGAAGACTGTCACCCCTCTCACTCTCACAAGCGTATCTCCTTTCCACGTAGACTTGCCTGATGAAATCTCGGAGCTTATGAAGATTACTGAAAGCAAACATATACTGATCAAGAACACTTTCCTAATGGAGCAACAAAACAATAAAAAGAAAGATGTTAGATAACCTGCCATCAGGAAAAGAATGAACTACAGGATCCCATGCTTTGAAGTAAATTTGTCTTGCCCGCTGCGAAAAGTTAAGAAATAAGTTAGACAATGGAAAAGAAAGAAAAACTTTCACATGACTATCTAACTATCCATGCTGACCTCATTTCCTGCTGCTTGAAGAGCAGTCACTTCTTCTTCACTAAATTTTCCCAATGATATTGATTTGACTCGATGAGTGAATTCCCGACTGAAACAAATCAACAATCCATATTGTAAAATATGAACAGAACTAGGAATATTTACGAAATCATATTAGACCCTCATCGTAATTGGCATAAAAAGTGTATATATAATACGGGAAAATTCAACTCAAGAAAAGAAGGTAACAGAAGCAACAACATAAGCTAAAACTTACTGTATTCCACTGCAGTTGGTGCAAACAAAAGTCAAGAAAGTGGTACAAACATATTGGGGACCCTGCCAAGAAGAAAGCATTAATTAATGTTAATACTTGAATTTTTCTTTCAATCTATGTATTCTTGAAATTATAGAAATTGTATTTTTTTAATTCTAATATCGTAATTTAAATTTCTAACTTTATCCATATATATTCATGCACTTGGAGTATAAGAATAGGTGTGTTGATTTCGAGTTGAGACACAACTTCCTTGAAGCATGAATTTCCTAAGAAATAGAATTTAAATGCCATGGTTCCAATGTCACAGAACAATTTTCTTATAGGGATCATTTTCATTCTAAAACATGAAGGAATTTAAATGCTGAACTAAAGAATTCGAATGCTCCTCCTAAAAAAACATCTCAAATCAATTGACTAACATCAGAAATCGATTCTCTATTTTATGGTTTCTTAAATGCTAGAATCTCATCAACTAATTATACAATAAATTAATCCTACATTCTCTCATTTTCTAAAACCATTCCAATGGCAATTCTAATTGTTTAAACAAGAATTTCTGGGAAAATTAGAACCATGAGAATTAAAGTCTAACGTAAACGATGATTCCACACATGAAAAAAATCGAGCTTGAAAAATATAAACAAACAACAAACAATCTAAGCAAAAAACTTACCAAAATATTGCAGTTGATGCATCTTTTGTTCTCTGGGAGTTTGAGAAGACCCCGAATCGTCCTCTCCATTCTTTCATCATCCTTTACCTTCTTCTTACTCCCCATTTTCTCCGTAAAGAAATGAAAGGCAAACTTTCACCCTCCTCCATTCGCAAAGAACCAAAATCTCAAATCGTTAGCGATACAATCATTTAAACAAAAATAAAAGTAATAATATGATGATGATACGATAATATATGTTCAAGCTTATTTCATCGCTTTGACAAACTGAGACAACAATATCAAACCAATATTCGAATTTTATCATAAAATTGAAATTTGTTTTCAAATTTTCCTAATTTTCTTCAAAAACAAAAGAGGATGGTAAATAAATGTAAAATGCACCTTTAGATAAGCTAGAGAAAACAGGGAGATCAAAAGATGAAGAAGAAAAGGATGAAGAAAATTTATATATTAGAGAAAGAAAAGGATAAATTTTCCCGGAAAAGTGGTTTCAAGACCGTTTTGAACCGTTGAACTCGAATCCGTTTTTTCATAATTATAATCAA